ACGCAATGATCAAGAACTGTCGTGGTGGTCCAGTTTTAGCAGTTAGATTGACTGGGATCTTAGGTAGAATCTGGGAACTGGACGCAATCCCATCCGACTGGTCTCAATCACTGATTGTCCCAATCTATAAGAAATGACAAAAGTCTTCTTGTGACAATCACAGGGGAATAAGTCTAACTAATATAGTATCTAAAATATTGGCCTCCATAATACTTCGACGCTTAACGAAAGCTCGAGAAGAGCAGACTCGAGAAAACCAGTCTGGTTTAAGACCTGGACGTGGCTGTATAGACCACGTCTTCACACTCAGACAGGTCCTGGAACACAGACACACATTTAGACGTCCGACAATAGTTATTTTCCTGGACCTGAAAGCGGCATTAGACTCTGTGGATCGTGAGGTTCTGTGGCAGTGTCTGTCATTGAAAGGTGTACCAAAGAAGTACATTAACCTTATACAAGCCCTTTACTCGAACATCACTGGTCGAGTGAGAGCTTATGGCGAACTATCATCGGAGTTCTCTACATCAAGTGGTGTCCGTCAGGGATGTCCACTTTCTCCATTCTTGTTTAACTTCGTCGTAGACATCCTCTTAGAGTTAACATTAAGCTCGTCAGATTTTTCAGGGGTTGACCTTCCGCCAGGAAAATCACTTACTGACCTAGAATATGCCGATAACATAGTCCTACTTAGTGAAGACGCTGACAAAATGCAGAGTCTTCTGACTACCCCAAGCAACAATGCAAGCATGTTCGGGATGCGGTTTTCACCCTCGAAATGCAAAATGTTGCTTCAAGATTGGGTAGTCGAACGTGTAGACCGCTTCACTTATCTTGGGAGTCTCATCAGTTCCGATGGCCTGGTGACTGACGAAATCTCAGCTCGGATACAGAAGGCTCGATTGGCTTTTGCCAACCTGCGTCACTTATGGCGTAGGCGTGATATCCGTTCTCTAATCAAAGGACGAGTGTACTGTGCAGCAGTTCTCTCCGTTCTCCTATATGGCTGTGAAACATGGCCAGTGAGAGTAGAAGATATTCGTCGGTTATTGGTTTTCGATCATAGGTGTCTTCGAAGCATTGCTCGTATACCGTGGGACAACCGAGTGAGCAATGCTGTCGTTAGGAAACGAGTACTAGGTAAGGATGGCAGATCAATAGATGAAGTGGTGAAACTTCATCAGTTGAGGTGGTTGGGACATGTGTTGCGTATGCCTAACCACCGACTGCCTCGACGAACTTTGTTCTGTAGTTGTTACGTCCAGTTTTTTGCTCGTCGATCTTACGAAGCACTGTTGTCGTCTATTGGTAATTCAAGGTCCCAAATTTCTATACCAAGAACGAAACTCCAAAGTAGATACCAAAGTTTATTCCAAATCACAAATTCCACCAAAATAATTTATTACAAATAGACGACCAATGTCGTTCTAACAACAATAATTATAATAATTACAGTTACCTTCTAATTTATTATCTCTTGGAGCAAAAAACTGCAACGAACAACAAAGAGAAACGGGAGTCCAATATGTTTGCAAATAATAATTCAAACAAGTTCATAAGTTAAGTAAAACAAATATACCCAAAAAACAGTGAAATTAATTATATTTATACATGAAGGTTTTAATCAGCAAAATGTCTTCGTTTCTCCCGTAACACTCCCGACTAAAAGAACCTTGGTTCTTTTCACCGACAAGAATATATAACAACAATCCAAGTATGTGCATCACAAGCAATCAACAACAAACATTCAATATAAATTCTACACCGGCCCACAATATCCCTCTAAGCAAAACAAGCCCTTTCTAACACTTCAATTTACGGTTCATTCTCATCCCCTAATCCACACCGGAAGAACGAGTAGGACTTACAGCAGTACGCCTACCCGCCCTCCAACATGGATATGACCTATCAAACTATGAACCTGTACATTCCCATCAGGTCCTTGATTCCCCTATCTATCGTAGCATGACCTAACGGTAGTATAAACCTTATCCAATTCACCCACACGAACATGTGCAACACGTCGTAAAGCTGGTCATATCCTCTTAGAGATTTACTTTCCACCTCATGGGGATGAGTCGTTAATCCACCACCCATTGCTCCAAACAGCAGATACGATGAAGCCCGTGATGCTGACTTATCAACAGAAGTTCTTGACCCATAGATAATATGCAAGGGCAGGATCTCCGATTTTGACATTTCCTCGTCTCCCGAAGACTCTAGGTGGCATAACATAGGAACAATATTCAACTCTCCATCTCCTGGTACAGAGGTTTGATCAGCATTCGTCAACGTCGACAAATCATTTGTCACATCAGTGACATCCAGATTATTATCGTCATTATGATTCCGTTGTGTCAGACAAGTAGCGTCGTTTCTGGCTACACTAGCATCCGTAGAGTGAAACTCTTCCTTTGTTGTATAACTCATCTCTCTAAATGAAAGAACAGCATTAGTGTCACAATCCAAAACCGATAAACTCACTTGTTGTTCTCCATGTTCCGTTACAGAGACACAAGACATAAGCACGTCAATAGCATCGTTATCAGGTAACACTGTAGACTGGCTGTTACCATCGGACACTTCCTGCTCATCATCACTTGACTGACAGTCAACCGAAGTAGGAACACTTAGAGTTACACAACCTTGTGTATCAACAATCAACTTAACATTCACGGCAGGGTCCGATGACGTCAAAACAATAGAAGGCTCATTCGATGAAGTTGGTCGACTAGTCACTATAAGTGGACTGCTCACACTTTCTGTCTCCTTACTATCGCTGTCACTACTAAGATTCCGATGGCTACTATTTCCATTGCTAGTCATAGCATCCGAAAAAGAACGAAGTTTAAGCTTCTTAATAATAGTAGCATCATGTTGTTTCTTATGCTTCTTAGCTTGGGTGGCAGTATGCAAGCGTAACGTACGATCATTTCGACGACGATGAGCGTCCTTTAACTTCCATAGATCACTATTACCCGCCGTACTACCAATGCTATTATCATTGGTAGTCGCATCTGTACAAGTAGCAATACACTTCTCATGATAACCAGTCGACTCATACACAGTATCCAACTTTACTCGATCAACAATACTTTCATTACCAGGAATGCTCTTAACCTCTTCTATCTTATCACTGTTGGTAGTGCTCATCCCGATACCTGTAGTACGAGTCAATGATGGTGAAGTGCGACAGGTGGACAATTCCATGCTTGATTCCTCATGCTGCATATTCAAAACAACAGCATGTCCATTAAACCTAGATGACTCCTCATTGCACCTAGGGTACCGAATGTTAGCATTCTCAGTACTGCCATCACTATAGCTAAAGCTATTGCCACCGACGCCTACGTTCTCCACTCTCAAACATCCAATTTCGTCTTGATTCGAAGTACTCAAAGAAGCTACATTAGCAGCGTCAACCGACGAAACAGCACTACCTATAATGATTCCACTATCGTTACCATCTCGTTTATTATTCACATCAATTACACTATTAATAGATACATGGGGTTTCACCTCCACCTTGACGTTATTGTTGTCGACAATGATGTTCCGACTATTCACAGTTAATGACGAGTTGCGAGATAGTTGGCATGCAGGCTTCAAAGCTACGCTACCACTTTCACTAACACTATCAATGTCGATATGACTACTTCGACTAGTATACGACCGTCCATCCGTTGACCGTAAACAAACATCAGCAGGACGCGCTGAGCTGCTAATATCTTCCGCTTCAATATCATGATGCTCCATAGAACTAGATATAGTAGCCTGCAGACATCCTGATTGCTCAGCAACATGAAGTGCTGTGTCACTATATACACTTGTTGTCCTAGGATCAACTCTAGGTCCTGTTAAATAATTTACGTTACGTGAAAGGTTCCGAACATAAGCTTTATTCCATACAGTCAAACCTGTTTCGTCTTTGTTCTTATTCACTAACCTCTGTTTGCTCGAATCCAAATAACCGTTCCTGGATTTTCGAGCAGTTAAGAGGCTTTTACCATCACACACCTCGGATCCATCTTGATGACTACCCTTTTTGCCTTTTTCTTTCTTTTCCATCTTCAAAAAACCCATCTTATCTGCTACACAAACCGGCTTCTCACTAGGGTTGATAACAGGATGATGAGGAATATACCAACAAACAGCATCACGGTCGAATACCTCCTTACTAGCTTCAATGATGTAGCCTTTGCTTAAATGTTTACTCATCACAAGTTGATATTTCTCCAGAAGACTATTATCCTTCATAAACCTCTTCCTTAAACACTCTAGTCTACGTTCAGCCAGTTCCAAATTATTCGGTAGCCTTGGCTTATCATACTTCCAGGGTAGACCAACTTGAAATGGCCACCTTCCAGTCTAAAGGAGCTATTAACTATTTCTAGAGCTCTTTTATCTTCGACAGAATATTCATTACGAAACCCATCTGCGTCCTCGAATTCATGATTATATAATCTTTCTATATCTCGCAAAATATCATTAGTAGAACAATGACACCACTGAACTTGATGTAAAGACCTCGATGCTTCTTTAGGACCTAAAATCATCCAACCGAGATGAGTACGCACACCAAACGGATGCTTCCTGTCTCCCAGGCGTTGTTCAAGGACCCAATGTGCATCTGGAGCATCACACCCAATCAATATTCCTACTAGATTACTTTGCAGCCTCGGTAGAGTTATGTCCCTTAAATGTTTCCACTTTCTCAGCTGCAGTTCGGTTAAAGGCTCTGCATAATCGATCGGAAGTTTCTTGGTCGTATAGGCCTTGTTGATCCTTATAGAACCCCGCTCATCTAATGAAAATACCTCTAAATTCACTTCCAGACATTCACAAGTAGAAGTTCCATTCACAGTCGTCAACTTTATTGAAGTCTCCTTACCTTTGAGACCTAACCGATTAACCAACTCTTCGCATACAATAGAGGTATCTGAACCATTGTCTAGAAGAGCGTATGTTTCCAGACATCCTTTGGGGCCATATAGTCTAACCGGAACGATACCCAAACAAACCTTTGAGAATTTCCAATCCTTAGCAAAATTCACTACATGTTTGTTAGAAGCATCAATATGCAATAATGGATTATGCCGAATCTTGCAATTATCAACGTCACACCTTGTGTCTGAGTTACACGACTTGGCTATGTGACCCTTCCTTAAACACAAGTAACATAGACCACGCTTTCTCACTTCCTGCCTCCTCTCTGTAACATTCATTTTTGATAACTTCATACAGTCTTTCTCCTTGTGATCACCAAAACAAATTTCGCAACTTAAAGCCTTGAATGAGTTGCTTGGTTCCCTCTTAACTACATTAAAGCGTGATCTCTTGTCAACTTGGCCTTCATAATTACCTTTACGAAACCTTGAGTTACAATGTACCAGTCTACCAAAACGTGATCTCGCAATTCTGGCTCTTTCTTCTACAAACATCACTAATTCTTCAAATATCGGCTCTCTACCGGTCATCATAATCCTATCAGCGGCTTCTACCCATTTATTCTGTAATTCCAAGGGTAAACGTGACACAATTATTTCCAAATTAGCCGTGGAATTCACATCAGACATATACCCCATTTCCTTCAATGTGATACATACATTACGTAACTTAATTGCGAAGTCAGTAAGGCCATCGGCGGATCCTTCAACTGATTTGTGGCTAAGTAATTCGGTAATAAGATTACGGGCAACGAGATGTTCTTTACCAAACAAATCATACAAAATTTGCTTAGCTCTATCGTAACCCAAGTGACTGGGCAAAGAAATACAAGCTTCAATAGCCATTCTGGCCTTTCCCTTACAATAGTAAGACAAATATGACAACAACTGGCCCTTGTCAGACAGTTTACTCTCTATAATGCTTGTAAACTGACTAATAAAACGGTGGTACTGGCTAGGTTGTCCGTCAAAAAACATCATATCGATTTTAGGCAAAACTGTATTATTAACCGTAGCACGTAACGTGTCCTTTAATTCATCAATACAATCGCATTTTGAGGCGTTAATTACCTTATTACGTTCAATATCACAATCCAAATACCTTTCGACCTTAGAATTTATCTCAGCTTTGTCTACTGACAGTTGGTTATCGTTTTCTATGAGCTTACATTCTAATTCAGCCATATCAACTTCCTCTTGAAGCTCTAACATTTTAAGCTGCTTTTCTAACTCAAGTCTCTTTTCCAAATTCTTCTTCTTAATTAATGCCTTATCTAACTTAAATCTAGAAGTACTAAACTGAGAGGAAGACTTACTATTAACACTAATATCATCAAGTTTATCATCATTAACATCAGACATACCACAAACAGCTTTAGAAAATTTACCATCCATTTCGTCCTGCTCCTTCAGCCTTTTGCTTCTAGTTTCCATTGGATGATTTTGTTAGAAATCGATTACCAAGCAAATATGAAATTATTCCAAACGTATTCGCCAATAATAGCAAAATGTCCAAAAGTATCCAAAATATAACCAAAGAACCAAAATTGAATTGTCCAAAGTATCCAACGACCAAATTAAAAGTTAGAAGAACCTTTGGACCCAAATTTCCAAAAGTTTCCAACGACCAAAATTTGAATTGAAGAACCTCTGGAGTCAAACGACCAAAAGAATCCAGTTTATGACAAATTTAAATTAGAAGAACTTCTGGAGCCAAACGACCAGAAGAATCCAGTTTATGACGAAATTAAATTAGAAGAACTTTTGGAGCCAAACGACCAGAAGAATCCAGTTTATGACGAAATTAAATTAGAAGAACTTTTGGAGCCAAACGACCAGAAGAATCCACTTTATGACAAATATAAATTAGAAGAACTTTTGTTACGTCCAGTTTTTTGCTCGTCGATCTTACGAAGCACTGTTGTCGTCTATTGGTAATTCAAGGTCCCAAATTTCTATACCAAGAACGAAACTCCAAAGTAGATACCAAAGTTTATTCCAAATCACAAATTCCACCAAAATAATTTATTACAAATAGACGACCAATGTCGTTCTAACAACAATAATTATAATAATTACAGTTACCTTCTAATTTATTATCTCTTGGAGCAAAAAACTGCAACGAACAACAAAGAGAAACGGGAGTCCAATATGTTTGCAAATAATAATTCAAACAAGTTCATAAGTTAAGTAAAACAAATATACCCAAAAACAGTGAAATTAATGATATTTATACATGAAGGTTTTAATCAGCAAAATGT